TAGCTCACAAGTTTTGGAACAGAGCTCATGTCTTCTGTATTAAAGCTGTTCCAGTGTTCCCAAACTGATCAACAGTTGAGAGACAAGTCCTAAAACTGGAGAACTAGAGAACTTTCTTTGTAATCAATAAGTTCAGTGAGTTCACCAGAACTCATACATGTGGGGCCAAATGGACCAAAAGGTGAACCAGCTCAAATGTACAGAGGCAATATCTCAGCTTTCAATCAATATTAGCCTACTTTCAGCTCAAAGCAATTTATAACTCTGTATGTGAATTAAGGCGAAAGATGACAACTATACACACTTCAGACAATAAGAGCATGAAGACAAACAAAAAAGTAAACTGAAAAAGCCCTGTGGAGTAGATCACTCTGGAGCGCTTATGCATGCACAGGTGATCAGGTCCAGCAGGAAGTCCACTTGCATGCTGATAACGTGCATCACCAATTACCTCCTGCCATCACATAACATTATAAACTCTTAATGTCAGTAATGGCATGCCAGCCATTCCTCTTTCATCAGTGTCACCATCAGTCATAATAACGCATTAAATATGGTTATCAGCTGACACGCTGTTTTATTTGGTTCTTCAACAAGTTTCCGGGAGTGAAACCCCTCATGCGCTTCATGGCAACCCGCTAGTTCACCCTCTGAGCTCGCCTGACACATGAATAAATAAAGACGCGCAGCGCGACCCGATACACCGGACACTTACGCAAAAACTAAAAACATTCAAAGGTTAAAAATACATTAACCCACAAAAGCTAATAAAACACTTGAGCATTATAGACACAAGATACAGAAACTGAACTGCCAACTAAAAGCATGTATTTAGATTAGTTGCATCCCTGCACTCTAAAAAATGCTGGGTTAAATTCAACCCAGTGCTGGGTAAAATAGGGACAAACCCAGCAATTGGGTTGTTTTGACCCAGCGTCAAACATTTAACCCAACCGCTGGGTCAAAACAGCCCAATTGCTGGGTTTGTCCCTATTTTACCCAGCACTGGGTTGAATTTAACCCAGCATTTTTTAGAGTGTGTGTAATTTTCATGACATGTCTAGGTTATACTGAAGTAACGTTATCAATAAAGGTAGTGGTTGTATAAACTTGTCAGCAGTTTTTCAGAGTAAGTCAGAGATCTTACCCGCTGCCTCCTGGATCAGTCCGGCCCGAGCGTTCTTGACAACCGACCGAGCGACCGCTGATCCTGCTGCTGCGAGAGTGCTGCTGCTCCGTGTGCTCAGCCTCCTCTCTCGCTCTCTCGCTCTCTCTCGCTCTCCCTCTCTCTCTCTCTCCCTCTCTCTCTCTCTCTCTCTCTCTCATCATGTTGCGGTTTCAAGTTTAAAACAAGTTGAATGCTGCATGACTGAGCAGCATTGTCGGGTGTCATTTGTTATTTACAAATGAAGCTTGCTAGAAATGTCATTTTGCATCTCACTGCATTCAAACAGTGTGCATGTGAAACGCTCATTCCTCTCTTAGCATATACATTACTAGATTTTTTCTTTTTAAATTAAATTCTAATATAATCCGATGGTGCTTTGTAATAAAAACCAAATGAAAACCAATTTTTTTAAACAAAAAATAAGTATTCATTTAAATTCAGTAGGCCTACATCTTATTTCTTATCATTCAGTTAGCCCACATTATAGTGATATTATAACCATGGCAAGAATTGTCAATGTTTATTGTGATATATGGATGCATTCGTATATTTGTGACTGGTAAATCTAAAATTAAGTAATGAGAGTAAGCCTAACTAGGCTACTATATTTTGTTTATATGTAGCCCAATGCTAAAAGCGCTTGAGCGAGATACTGTTGCTATGTTACTTACCAGGTAAAGCGACATTAGGGCATTGATTAATTTGGTCATCTTAAAGGTAACTAAAATTTTGTTTCTAAACTTTAAAACGTACAATTATATTTTTTACTTGAGGCTCTCGATAATTCGCGCCCTAATAACAGCAACTTGCCACCCTTCTGTCGTTTCATATTATATTATATTATATTATATTATATTATATTATATTA